TTGGAGGCCAAGATGGCCAAACTTCGTTTCTCATACTTCGGACATATTGTCAGGAGGGACCAGTCACTGGGGAAGGAGATCATGTTTGGTAAGGTGGAGGGTCAGAGAAAAAGAGGAAGACCCCTAATAAGATGAATTGGCCAAGTGGCATCATCGATGGACTCAAGCTTGGCAACAGTAGTGAGGTTGGCCCAAGATTGGGCAGTGTTTCGTTCTGCTGTGCATAAGGTCACTATGGGTCAGTATTGACTTGATCACACTTAACAACAACAACCATCAGTAAATACAGGTCTTTTAAGCTTTCCTCAATTCACATTATTATGGTCAACTCTACTTTGAGGAAGCAGCTCTTCCCTAGTTGTATTTTGAATGCCTTCCAAGCTGAGAATCTTATTTTCTGGCAGTATATACAATGATGTTCTGTTGCTAGTCATAATGTTTCCATCTTTTGGTACTATATCTGACATTGTTCCACATTATTCATAATGTTTTCAGTAGCTAAACATTCAGAAGTTGTCTGCGTCTCCCTTTTCCTAGTCTGACTTTAAACTCTGATGAAACCTGTTTACCATAGGTGATCCTGCTTGTACTTAAAATGCATAAGGACTAAGCTATGCCTTAGTCCTCAAGGCACAGCTTCCAACATCACAGCACTCTGGAAGTCACCACAGCGTTAATAACAGATGAGTGCTGGATTTTGCCCATAGTATCCTTCAATAATTCAAATTGAGTCTTGAATTTTTCTTCACTTTTATCAGCGTGAGAAATGCCCAAAGATGTGTGAGTGTTCTTTAAAAATGTTTCCTTTAATCATCGTTTTATTTTACCTTCATCTTTTCCTTACATTCATATCTCTTCTATTTCTTCAGGTTTTATTACCACAAATATTGTTCTGAATTCTGTCTTTGCAAAACTTATCAAACAAAAAGAAAAATAAATCAGAAATTGTCAATACCTTGACAATATGTTGATGAAGTCAAAACAAAATGCCTTAGCTTTTATAGTCAACTACTACATTATTGTGGTCTGTCTTGGTGTGGTGCTGTATGATCAGCACTGGACTGCAAACAACAAGATCAGCAGTTCAAACCCACCGGCTGCTCCTCGGAAACACTATACAGGGTCTCTAACGAATCAGACGTGACTCAACAGCATTAACAATGCAACTGAATTATGGAAGGAGCCCTGATAGCCTAGTGGATTATGATCTGCGCTGTTAACTACAAGCTTAGTAGTTAAAATCTACCAGTTGCTCCGCAGGAGAAAGAGGAGTTTTTCTGCTCCTGTAAAGGTGTACAGCCTTGGAAACTCTATACAGGATTGTTATGAATTGGAACTGACTCAGTGGCACACAACCACCATTACTATCACTGGGTTATATAATTCCTGCATGGTTCAAATTGTTAACATGCTTGCTGTTAACCAAAAAGCCAGAGATTTGAGGCTACCCAGAGGTGTCTAGAAAGAAAAACATGGTAGTCTATTTCTGAAAAATCAGCCATTGAACATTTTGGAACAAAGTTCTTGCCTGTCACATCTGGGGTCACCATGAATCAGAGCCACAACAACTAGGTATTGAGTTGACAATACTCTCCTTGTTGAAAGTTTTAGTTTTGAACAAAATTAAACAGGTGCAAAAATCAACTAATACCAAAAGTACAAATGAGACACTTCTCTTATATACATACCTATTCCTTTTACTAAATTGCAGTTAGGAAGATCCACTGGTGTCACTTCTCTGGCAGCATTAAGTCGTATTCTAGGGGAGGAAAGGAATGAAATCCATATAAAAGTATTCTAAAAAATGTAATTGCATTTCAAAGGTAAGCAGTCTGTAAAGTTCTTTATTTTTCCTAGGTTTCAATCCCAGGGTTAGTGGTTTCTGAAACCTGTATAATTATATAAAACAAGGCCTGAATAAGACACGTGGAGTCTTCTGGGCACAACATTTAATATTTATTTAGTTGGGGGCAGGAGTGGGAACTGGATGGAGTTCATGGATAGTAAAAGAGATACATAGTGTCCTCGTCTCTGTACACATTGGCTGGAGGGAAACAATTTCAACAGTTGTGTAAGGAGCCCTATTTGGAAACCAGGACTTTTAACGATTTCATTCTATTGTGAGTCCCTGATGATAATTTGTTTTCACCCCATGTGATTATTATAGATCTTTATAATAATCTATATTATAAAGGTAGTCCTTATGAATACGCCTAGGGATCTCGTTGAAATGTTGATTGTGATTTAGTATATCTGAAGTAGAAATGCAAATTATGAATTGGAATGAACCTGCTGGAAACCCTAATGAAAATTAGGGTTAATAACAAAATGGTTCCAATTTATCCCATTGAGGTTTTAAACCTACTGATAGTTAGTTAGGTCTCTTGCCCATATCGCCAATCTGGCCTCAGAGCCTGAACTTGGATGTAGCATTTGAATAATGTAGGGGTGCTCAATGAGTTTATAACTTCAATCATACTCAAAGCCAGCACAGAAAGAGCATTTCACACACACACACACACACACACTGCAACTTGTTAAAACTGAGCATATAAACAGAGCAAACATTTGAATGAAGGAAAGAGAACAAATGTGAGGAGGAAGTACCCAGCAGGCCACCTGACCACAGTAAAGTTACTGATGATACAGATGACAAACTTAGCAGTTAAGAGGTTTAAACAATGAACATTTATTGAGAAACAATAAGGAGCCCTGGTCACAAAGGGTGAAAGTGTTCAGTTGGTAACCAAATGTCGGTGATTGGAATCAACCAGCCATTCCAAGGGAGAAAGATGGGACAGTCTGCTTCCATAAAGATTTTTTGTTATTGTTAAGTGCTGTCAAGTCAGTTCCAACCCACAGTGACCCTGTATAGGGTTTCCAAGGAGTGGCTGGTGAGCTTAAACGGCCGACCTTGATGTTCAAACCAACTTTGCAGCTCAGCGCCTTAATCCTCAGCACTGCACCAGGACGCTCTGAAGTCCCTAGAGCAGTTCTACTCTGAATGATACAGTCACTGAGTCAGGATCGACTCAGTGACATGGTTTTGTTTTGTTTTTTTTTTAATTATACAATATAGTTACAATGAGCAGTGACAATTATTCAAGAAGTCCTAGGAATATTGTTGTTGTTGTTAAGACCCATAGCGACCCTGTACAGGGTTCCCAAGGCTGTAAATCTTTACAGGAGCAGAAAGCCTCATCTTTCTCCTGTGGAGCGGCTGCTAGTTTCGAACTGCTGAACTTGCGGTTCGCAGCCTGATTCGTAACCACTATGCTACCAGAGTTTGTTTGTTGGTTAAACATAGATAAGTAGATATAATTGATTGGAATACCTAAAATGGGGCTACAACGTGTCCGGTGAAGGAGGCTTCCTGTAGAGCCTTTGCATTGCATAAGACCATAGGTAGAATCCTGAACCCCATCCAAAATCTCCACTTGAAAGGACAAGCAGACCAGCCTGGAGTGGCTAGAAGAACAGAAGATACTTCTTGAAAGAAAGACCCACAGGAAAAATACAACACAATAATGGCAGTCTGACTGACTACTACAAAAGCAACCAAGTTGTTAGTCCAGAAGACTTCAAGGCAAGGGGTCGGGTGCCTTCAGGGCAAACCCCCTTCCAAGAATAAGACTTAAGGAGAATACATGAGCAGGCATGCAGTCTGAATGATGACCACATTGGTCACCGATAAGGAGAAGTGAGGGAAAAACAGCAATGAAATTGTGAGCTAAGTCTGACCACATTCAATAGACTTCTGTGAACCCTGGTGGAGACCCGGTTGGCCAGCAGTATGTCAAGACCTGGGGACTCCTGGGCCCAGAGACAGTGACATAGCCATAGAAGACTAGAGTGGAGAATGAAGTGTCCAGCTGATAAGAAGTGAGGGGATTTGCACAAGAACACTCACACTTGCAGGTAATACCCACTTGACCTGGCTTCAATGGCTGGATGATTAGAACTCGACTAGAAGAAGAAAGGAGAGGAAAAAAAAAAAAAGAGAAATCTGATACTATTTTATGAACTTGACATACACCTATGGATGCAGTAGCTCAAAAGAAGGAACAAATTTTTACAGCAGGGATCATTCTCACCCCCTTGGTACACAGGGTAGACAGCGGTGGGCAACTTGGACATTGGCTACCCCAAATTGGGGAGCTACAAGGGTAAGAAGTTACTGGCTTACAAGCTTTCAAGAGGGAGCCTAGATCCAGAGGGCGTGGAGGAAGGTACAATCTCCACTGAGTCATATCCAATCTGTCTGATGAAAGGAGACGGGGATAGGACTTTTGTGGTACAATAGTGAATAATTGCTATCTGGACTGACTGTGAGGGATGGAAACATAAAGGTAGATGTTTTGTAGCAAAAGGAGGGGTGTCGTTGATTTTGCAGTCCAGAAGTGGGGGTACCTGGGATCATCAAGGGAGAAGTGCAGAGTGTGGGAAACAGTGACGCCAGAGATGGAGGCAGAGATGATGACGTGGAGAGATGGAGTGGCTAGGGACTCTAGATCCAAAGAGGGAGCGGGGCTGTCTGCTGATGACCGAGGGGCCTGCTTGTTGGGTATACCATTTGGTTGGTTGATGATGCATGGAAGGGATTGTAACCATGGCAATGAAATGATATACGATAGGATGAATGTAAAGCTAATGTTCTCCCATGTAAACTATCACATAATTTACAATAAAAACAAAACAAAACAAAAAAGATAGGTAGATAAAATCTTAACTTGCCTTACTGATAATTTATATCTTACAGAAGGAAGATGAAGCAAAGGTGAACGAATTCTCTGGATATTAGATGAACTGAATTACATCATCTTTGTGTGGGGCAGCTGGGAGAGTGTGAGCAGAACAAATCCAGGTGCAGGTGGAGAACTGAGGCTGAGAAAGCCTAGATCAGGTGTTGGATGATTTCAATATCTCATTTCTGTTTGCCCAGGTTAATGCTACAACTATGCATACGCTATGACAAAAAATTATTTGCTAAAAGACTAATGGAAATTCACGAACTATAAATGTTATGTGATTTTTCAACATGGTACACACTGATAGGAATTTAAAGGCAGTTTGTTTTTTATTCATTCATTTATTCAGAAAAAAATGTTGCATGCTTCCACTATGTATCATGCCAAGGCTACTAATACATAAGGAATGGGGTCCCATAATCCCCTTTGTAAAAGCCCCACAGTTCATCCTGAGACACAGTCAGAATGGCAAACCATCAGTCTGGAGACAAAGAGATGAAGACATAAGTGAAGCCTGGTTGGCAAGGAGACCGGAACTCACTACATGGCAGACATGCATTTAGAAAGCAGGCTTCAAAGGAAAGTGGGGAGTCACCCCTTGAGCAAAGACACTAAAAGGTGTTTTGAAAATAGAAATCTGGCATTACAGTTGAAAAGATGAAAATAAAGGAGTAAATTAGGGAAATGTGGATTTTAAAGAAAATGAGCTCTATTGCTGAGAGAGAAACATTTTAGCATAAACCAAAAACCAAACCTATTGCCTTACTAATAATTTACTCATAGTGACTCATGTAGGGTTTCTGAGACTGTAAATTGTTATAGGTACAGACAGCCTCATCATTCTCACACAGGGCAGCTGGTGGATTTGAACTGCCAACCATGTAATCAACAACCCAAAGCCTAATCCACAATACCACCAGGACTCCTTACTCGTTAGAATAAGGATGATAAAGCTACCCTTGTACATGAAAACGTGTAAAAGATGCCTGTAGTCTGCATTCGTAGACCAAAGTAAGGAATTGTTGTTGTTGAGTGCTGTTGAGTCGGTTCCGACTCATAGTCACCCTGTTGGTAGCTGGAACCGCTGATCTTCTGGCTAGCAGTCCAGTGTTTATCCTGCAGCACCACATAAGGAGTCCAAAATAAGGAATAGTAAACCAGGACAATTCACTCTCATTCCTTCCTGGCAGATTTGTTATCCTTTGGAAGTCATCTTGGTGTGGAGCGGCTAGAAGAGAGTGAGCAGAAACAGTCCAGGTACAGATGGAAATGGAGGACTGAAGCAGAGAAAGCCTAGATCAGGTGTTGGGATGATTACAATATCTCATTTCCATTTGCCCAGGTTAATGCTACAAGTACACATGTGCTGTGACCAAAAAAAAAGAAAAAAAAAATTAGCAAATGACTAATGGAAATTCACAAACTGTAATTTTTACATAATTTAAAAGCCAAAATCACCAACAGCTTGTTCCTTGACATTTCTCTCATCGTGATTTCAAAATAATTAACCAATAATAAAAAAGAATCATTTATAAAAACTTTGAATGTAAGTTTTTAATCAGCCCACAGGACTGTATATATTGTTTAAGATAAAAAATGTTCAATTTGATTCTTATTAATGTTTTACTTCAGGATAGAACGAAGATATTATTGCCTGGGTCTTAGAGAATAGGATGATCTCTAGACTTTGACCCCTGTAAAAAGTTTCAACAAAACTACAGGTATAATCTTAAAACACTTTTCCCCCCTTAACAGCACCAAACAGTTTGTAGAGCGCGTTTAAGGGACTGATTATTACGTAGCAAGCATTGTGCTAGTTGCTTCATATGTAAGTTTTCAGTACTCTTCCAGCTTACCTAAGCAGAAAAATTCTGTTATGCATACGTTGTGGTGAGTTGAGCGAAGCGAACTTGAGAACAACCAGCAGCAACTAGTTTTAGAAATGAGCAACGATTCGCCCCTCATTCCACAGGGGCAGAAGCCAGAAGCCAGGGCATTACATGCCAGACATGGGGTTCTTCCCATCGCACCCATTCCTTGGAGAGGAAGCGAGGGGCATCAGTGCTCCTGGGCTCCCTGCTCCTGGGGTCCTCAGGTTGCCCTGCTGCCTGTTTCAGCGGGGCCTCACGTTGAAAATCTCCATGCTCTTAGTTTTCCCCAGGATCAGGCAATCATATTTTGGGCTCCTTTTCCTGATTCATACAATATCTGGGGTCCCCATCTGGTTATCTGTTTTGAAGAGACGCTTAAAACACAGAACTCTACTAGAAAGTTATTTGGATATCTCCTGATAATTTAGCCGCTCACGCCACAGGCCATCGATTCTCATATTGGGCAACGATACATTTATATGTGGCATATGGAAACCTGGTCAATCCTGAGGGATGTGAACCTTAACCTTCCTGTAGGTTTTCTGTTCAGAGTCTGGATCCACTATTCTGGGGGTTTGTCGTGCTGGTGGGGTGGAGGTGGGAGTAGGGAAGGTGCAGCCCTCACCACGATGACACTTACTGGTAAGAAGACCGGTAGTCCCTCAAGAGTCCCAGTCCCAGCCCCAGGAGGGTGAGCACCATCAGCTTCGCCATGGCCTTGGACAGACAGACTGACTGAGGTTCTGCCTGGCTACAGCTTCAGCCCCGCTTGGGTCGCTCCGGGATTGGCCTGTGGCGTCCCTTCCCGCTCCGCCCCACCTCGCCCCGCCCCGCCCCGCCAGGTCCAAACCTAGCTGGGCCATCAGCCGATACCAAAGGTTCGGATTTGGGTTCAGTCTGGACCTCATTGTGATCCACCGAACTTAAAAGAGAGGGACCCGGAGAACAGCCGCCTAGCCCCGGCAAGGTGGAGAGAGCAAGCAGACTTTAGGAAATGGAGAGGCGTGGGAAAGGAGAGCCAAGCTTTGGTGTGAGCGCTCACTTTGTACCGACAAGGTCTTAATCCTTGTGGCTCAAAAGGTGCAGTAATTTGATCAGGGTGACTCAGCCAGAAATTGTAAGGAAGTGAAGACTGAAGTTAAACTCTGATTCCTTTCCTCACCTTCAAACAACTGGATTTCAAGCACTTTGTCCTCTCTTCACCTCATCTTCACTTACAGCATACTGGGACACTTCACTTCACTTCCTATCCCTTCCTTGTCTCTGCTCACATTTACTGAGCACCTGTCCCGGGCCAGACTCTGTTCTAGATGCTGGAAGACAAGAGAAATATTCTCATTGAATTTACATGTCATTGGCAGTGGAAGAAGGGAAAGAGACAAGAAAGAAACAAGTAAAGTTTATCACTGTTGATGTACAGTGAAATAAGCTTTGGAGAAACCTCAGGGGTGGGAGATAGTGAATGATGGAGGTGCCAGTTTAAGAAAGAGGATTCAGGGGAAAGACTCCTTGATAGGGGACATTTAAGCAAAGACCCCAGGCGGTACCTCTGTAAGCCCATCTCTTGCATTTATTGCTTCCCCTAAAGACCAACTCGGCCCTTTGTTCCAAGTCCATTTTCTTCTTTCTTTCTTTCTTTGGAAATATTACCCTTAGGTATGAACATGCCTTAGTAACACCCATAGTTTTTTGGGGGAGAAAATCTCTTTTTCCCACATTCTCTTTTTTGTCTCTTCAAAGACTTGGTAGCCATTGTGGATTCCATTTTATCGCTCTGATTAAATGTGTCACATTAAAGATGACTATAAATTCCTTAATACTCTTCCCATTGAGATGCAAGCCCTATGGCCCTCTTCTGTGAATCTATGCAGGTCCTATCAATACTTTAGTTACTAGAAGGTAGTTACGAAATGTTGTGACCATAGCCTTCATGAACATGAATTGCCTCCTTTACCACGAGACCAGAACTGAATGGTGATCTACTACTGTTACCAAACATTTTAATCAAAGATTTCATATTAGAATCCTGATCAAAATGGGAACAATGCAGAACAAAATTAGATATTCGTATGTACTCCTGATATCCTGGACTTAACAGTTGAATGAATTCCTGAAACTCCTGTTCTAAGATAATCTTTAAAACTAAAAACAAAAATGAAAAAATTATCTACCTAAGATCAACTTGACAACAGCATGTCAAAAGATTAGAAAAGAATCTGAGGAGGCAGTGATTAACATTAAAGGGTGAGGAATAACTCAGAAAAGGTGCCTGAGAATGCTATATTGTCTGAATAATGTGATCAATATCACGAAACGGAACATGCAGAAATTTCAATGGGTGTACATTTTGCTGTGTGTATTTTCAACAACAGGAAAATAAAATGATTTAAAAATGTATCGTGAGCTACATCAAATATACCTGAGCATCTAAAATATATATGTACAGTAATTACAGAACAAACATTGGTCTAAACTAACCAGGTCAGCAAATGTATTACCAGCAGTCTAGGAGTCCTCTATGTCTTTTCTCTGACCACTGCTTCCACCTTCACTAGAGGCAACCAGTAGCTTAAATTTTGTGGCAATCACTACCTTCAAGCTTCCTCAATCTACATTTTCTAATTTCACACCGAAAATAACATCATGCTACATATATTCTTGGAGCTTTTCTATAGCTCAACATTGTTTGTGAAATTTATCCATTTTCCAGCATGTAGCTTTACTTATGTATGTGTAATGCATGTATATAACTATATAGCATTTCACTGTATGAGAATAAGCTTTGTTTATCCCTTTCAATGTTTATGGAAATTTCTCAAGTTTTTAGTTTATTTTACTCTGAAGATTTATTTTTAAAAATAAATTTATTTAATGTTTCTAGAATAAAAGTCATTTTCAAATTCTTCTTGAGTTTGTTGAATGAACTTTCCTTTAACTGGCAATCAAAATCCATTTACCCTTTCTTTCTGAACACAAGATTGCCCAATAAAATGATTAAATTTCCACCCTTCCTTCTCATTGTTGTTGTTAGATGCTGTTCACTCAATTCTGACTCATAGTGATCTCAAGTACAGCAGATGGTCTCTAATTTCAGGATGGTCATACTTTAGCTCTTCTGAACTTGTTTTAATTTTCTTCAGCTTCAACCTGAACTTGCATATTAGCAAATGATTTGTCTGATCCCAAGTCTGCCCCTGGCCTTGTTGTGACTGATGATATTGAGCTCCTCCATCATCCCTTTCAACAGATGTAGTCGATTTGATTCCTCTGCATTCCACATGGCATGGCCCATGTGTATAGTCAGTTTATGTTGTTGAGAAAAGGCATTCTCAACGAGTAAGTGGAATTGCAAAATTCTATCATGTGATCTCCAGCATCACTTTTATCACCAAGGCCATATTTTCCAACTACCAGTCCTTATTCTTTCTTTCTTACATTTGCATTCCAATCAACAATGATTATTAATGCATCTTAATTGCATGTTTGATCAATTTCAGATTCAGAAGTTGGTAAAGATCTTCAATTTCTTCTCCTTTGGCATTAGTGGTTGGTACGTAAATTTGAATAACAGCCATATTATCTCGTCTTTTTTGCAGGTGCTGTGCTTAAGCATAGATCTTAAAATATTGTTTCTGAAAATGAATGAGACATCATTATCTTCAATGTGTCATTCCTGGAATAGTAGATTATAAGACTGGCTGATTCAAAATGTCCAATATCAGTCCTTTGTAGCTCACTATTACTTGGGATATTGATCTTTATGTGCTCCATATCATTTTTGATAACTTCCAATTTTCCTAGTTTCATATTAAGTACATTCCATGTTCTGATTAATAATGGATGTTTGCAGCTGTTTTTTGTCATTTTGAGTCATGCTACATCAACAAACTAAGGTCCTGAAAGCTTTCCTCTGTGCTCATTAAGGTCAATTCATTTTTCCTAGTTGTATTTTGATTGCCTTCCAACTTGAGGGGCTTGTCTTCTGACACTATGTAAGAAAATATTTAGCTGCTATTCATAAGGTTTTTGTAAGTTCCACTGAACTCTGTACACCATGGGTGACCCTGCTGGTGTTTGGAATACCTGTGGTACAGCTTCCATCATCACTATAACACACAAGCCACCACAGTACAGCAGACTGACAGAGGAGTGGTGGTCCTTTCAATTAATTGTAACTATATATTAGAAACTACCAGCCGCTCTGCGGGAGAAAGATGAGGCTTTCTACTCCCGTAAAGATTTACACCCTCGGTCGGAACCGACTCGATGGCACTTAACAACAACAACAACAACAACAACAACAACAACAACAACATAAAGGAGCTCTGGTAGCGTAGTGGTTACGAATTGGGCTACGAACCACAAGTTCAGCAGTTCAAAACTACCAGCTCTTTTGTGGGAGAAAGATGAGGCTTTCTGCTCCCATAAAGATTTACAGCCTCGGAAACCCTGTACAGGGTCGCTATGAGTCAGAACCGATTCCACGGCTCAAAACAACAACAACATAATACTATACTCTTGCCAACATATCTTTCGGTTAGTAGGCTAGTGTTTATCCTACAGCACCACACCAGGACTTGATGATAATTTCTTAATAAATACAAATAACTTCATAGAAAGACCCTGTAATGCTACAGCGGAAGTGTCAGCATTTTCCTACTAATGTAGAATATTCTTCTGTGAGAAAAAAGTATAAACCTTTAAAAAAAATATAAAGTGGTTATAACACTAGCATGTAATAAACACTGTTGTTAACTTTACATATACTTCTTTAATTGTTTTGCCAACCCTATACTATAGTTACTGCTGTTTTGGGGTATCAAAGTTTTTGTTTTGTTTTTAACTCTTAGCAACCCCATGTGATAAAGTAGAACTGTCTGTAGGGTTTTCTTGACCATAATCTTTATAGAATTAAATTGCCAAGTTCTCCCCCCATAGATCCACTGGTGGGTTTGAACTGTCAACCTTTCAATCAGCAAGCAAACAATCATTTGTGCCACCAGAGCTGAGAAGAGTTAGTGTTATTATCCTAAACAAAGGTGATAAATTGAGGCTCAGAGAACTTACGTGAAAGTTGCACAGTGAATGAAGTAGCATTCAGCTTCGGAAAGTCGGGCTTTTGATCTGTTCTCTTACCTATCTATGATTGACTGCCACTCAGCCATATTTGGAGACCTGGTATGCCACTGTAGGATAAACATTGGATTGCTAACCACAAGGTCAGCAGTTCAAACCCACAATCAGCTCCTCGTAAAGCCTATACAGGGTCACAAAAAGTCAGAATTGACTCTACGACACTTAACAATAACAACAGAAAAAATATATATATTCTTTAAACCATTAAAACTGAGGTCTCTTAGTAACAATAGCTTAGCATGATTTTTAAAAATACAGAAATTTGAATTTAGAAGCAGGGTCCTGCCCTAACAACAAGAAAACACTTAAACATGTGGTGAGACTAGAAAGCAGATATCAGAGGGTGCAAATCTAGGACTTTAGTAATGTTATCACAAAATATTTAGTAGAACTGTCTTGGATTGAATTGTGTCTCGCCGATTCGACAACCCTTAACAACAGCAAAATATGTGTCAGCATGGTTGGAACATAATTCTCAGTGATCTGGCAGTTATGTAACAATGCAACGTGGCAATTCGGGGATGTTCTCCTATGATGTCATTTTATGATAAAACAACAAGAATCAAGGGTGAGCTGGTTGTTGTTATTGTCAT